AGGGGTCAAGCTGCCGGACACGTTCACCCATCCAAGGACTCTCCGCGACTATTGCTTAGCGTCATCTGACTGGTGACCCGGGCTCTATGCACAGGACGATACACTACCACATGGTACTCTGTTATGGACTGACAAACCCTTGAAACCAGGAATCGGAGGTTTGTAAGCATTAAAGATTTCAGTCAATTCTGTAGTTAGATTCCCCACACGGATAAAGCGCACGAAGCACATTTCTACAGTCAGTCGCCAAAAGTCTGTTCGCAAAACATGTTACGTTGCCCATGTTTTGAGGGGTAGGTTGACTTTGAGAGCGTTTCGCCGTGCTGATAAGCCACCAATCGTAATGTGATTTGGGGTACAAATTTCACAGGTCACAAAATATGTTTAGCACCGATAATATGCGATTATCTCCCTTGCTTTGTTTATATTTTTGTCGTCTGCTATCATGCCGCTTGTCAACCGAGAATTGACACCTGACCAAAGAAATTTAATTGTTGACTTGAAAACGAGGTTCAGTTAAATCGTTGCCGAGAAGTGGGCGGCCCCGAAAATCGTCACCAAGAAGCGAACGACGGCTTTTTCAGCTTGTGAAAAGCAATCGCCGGCAAACACTAGGGGATTTGACAGCAAAATATAACAATCAGGGACCGACTACTCTGTCTTTTCGCACTGTCAGAAGAAGATTGTTCATTGAGGGGTACCGTAGACATGTGGTAAGCAAGAAAATCACCATTTCTCGTGTTAACAGAGAGAAGAGACTCCGATTTTGTCGGACAAAATTGCATTGGGGAAGAAATGAGTGGGATAATGTCATTTTCAGTGATGAGACACAAGTCCAGATCGGGATAGACAGAAAAGTTTATGTGTGGAGAAAGTCGCATGAGCGGTTACGACCCGATTGTTTGGGGGTTCGCACCGTTCATGAACGAAATTCGAAGTTTTCAGTGATGTTTTGGGGTGTGTGTCTGCGTATGGAGTGGGAACTTTAACTGTCGTTGATGGCAACATGAACACTGATAAGTACATTGCCATTCTTGATAACCACTTGTGGCCTGTAGTTGCCAGGCATTTTGTCAACCGCAATTGGATTTTCCAAGAAGACAATGCCCCTTGTCATGTGTCCATTCGGGCTAACCGTTGGAAACAGGAAAATCATATTCCGACTTTGCCGTGGCCCCCACAAAGTCCAGATCTCAATATCATTGAAAATGTATGGAAAACTGTTAAATATCAACTCAAAGCCAGATTAGGTGACATTAACTCCAGACAAGATCTCATCCGTGTGGTGAATGACATTTGGACTGGGCTTAGTCCCGTTTACATTCGTCGTCTATATGACAGTTTACCAAGACGACTCCGAGATGTCCTAAGAGCTGAGGGTCATATCTCTAAATTCTGAAAATTTGAGGTGAGTACCTTTATTATTTACATAGATACGCGAATTTTAAAAGGGGACCCGACTCCGCTAGAAATAGCCGTGACGTCACCGGTGCGAACAGACTTTTGACCACTGACTGTAGTGTTCCCAGCGCAATGCAGTTACCATATTGCTTAAAACGGCGTAAAACCACATTCACTTGATGATCATAAGTGACAGAAGTTCTGGATACATGTATGTCTTTGGTGTTAGTGAGTGAATGTTGTTTTATTCCAGCCTGCGACAGAACCAGTGGTCGATAGCGTAAACAACCGACCACGCTTCCCTGGTATGTTAACACACAGTGAGCCAGATCAAACATTGTTGCGGTCGTCGATATCACATATGGTGTTTATGTGTCTACACATGGTGGTAACTCAAATATTTTCTTATAAATCGTTTTAAATCACCTCAAAGCCATTTAACTGAAGTGTAGGAAATACGTGACTGTTGGAAACTTTTTACAAATTATTGTGCTCTTCAGAAGTCACTCTAAAAGACGATAGAAAAGTGCTTGGAGACAGTGTTTGCAATACTTCCCTTTGCCGGTTGGCCATCCAGGGCCTGCTGCCGCCTGTAGGCCTTAAAATCTACAGGCCCTGAATGAAAACTGCAGGCCCATTTTGTTAAAATCAAACCAATAAGAACAAAATAGACTACACTGTACACAGTTTCTCACTGTTTCAATTAGCGAAACCTATGGTGCTGAGAGAAATTTTTATTTGTTAAAGACTGGCGTTGACATTCCTACGCGCAAAGTGCTGAAATACCAGAAAGTGAAACTGTAAGTATCACATGATGCATCATGGATGATTCATAAACGTTAATAAAGAAAAACAATATGGGAAAGATTCCAGCTGAAAAACACAAAAAACATTGACAGATAATTTACTGAAGACCACAAGGACCTGCAAATATTTGAAACTGCCGGCCCGATAGAATAACTACCGGCGCTGGGCCTCCGGGCCGGCGATTATTTCGAACGCTGCTTAGAGATTACAAAATATCAAAACAACAATTGTGTGTTTATCTGTTGCCGCACGTGCGAATATTTCATAATTTCATGGTACCCCACGCAGAACACTGCGGATAGTCATCTGTGGTGTTGAAGCAGCACGCATACAGCGTGTGTTACTTTAAGTCAAAATGAAAATTCTTTTCAAGCTATTAACATTATTTTGGGGACAATAATCAAGGTGTCTACTTTCTTTTTGCACGTCAGTTCAGTTGTTGCTTTGCCCAATGTAGAATACTGTGTCTCAGCCGGGTATTCTAGGGCGGTGGGGTAGCCTCGTGGTTAAAGCGTTCGCGCGCCTCACGCCGAAGACCCGGGTTCGATTCCCCACAAGGGTTCAGTATGTGAAGCCCATTTCTGATGTCCCCCCGCTGTGATATTGCTGGAATATTGCTTAAAGCGGCGTCACGAACGCAGTCCCCTTTAGTATCGCTGTGAGAATAACATCGCATGGCGTTTGTCAGTATTTGCAACTTTAGCAGGTAATTAGCAACTTTAAAAGACAAGTAACACAAGGATGGTCATTATATGTGATTCAAGGTCAGTGTAAGGGTCACTTGGTTTCACACCGTGTTGGTCCCGTGAAGATTCGGGTTAGAATTGATCTTCAGCAACCCATATTTGTTGTAAGAAGCGACTAACGGGATCAAGCGTTCTTTCTCGCTGACTTGGCTCACATGTCATCGTATCCCAGTTGCTGAGATTGATGCTCATGCTATTGATCACTGGGTTGCCTGGTTCAGACTCGATTATTTTACAGACAAGAGCCATATAACTGGAATATTGCTGCGAGCGGCAGTAACAACAAACAAACAAACCACGCCGTCTTGGTCGTCACCTCTGATATCAAGCGTCGTGGTTGTCCAGGAAGACGTTGTAGCAGCCGTACAGACAGCAGTCATTCACAGCTCAGGTTTTGGTACTTAATTAGTTTATCAAAACGGAAATAACACCCTAGTTCGTTCCAGCTTTCATTACGGTCACATCAAAGCTCTTTTCAAATGTCTCCCTCTCACTAATTACGTACATTCCCACAATACACCACTGACCATCACGTGACCCTGTACACTAAAGAAACATAATATAGAGGGGTTTGTCTGTTGAATTACATTCGTTTCCTTCCATCTTTCGCTGTGGTAATGGAAGTCTATTTGATCATGGACAACACTCTATACGCACAATAATGGACTGAATAGAGAAAGCATGAGAAAGCATTTCGCCTTTCTCGAAAACAATTTGGAAATCCATTTTCCGAGTAGTGCCGTCTTTCAAACAGCATGTTGCATGTATAACAGAACATGTGTGTATTTCCGGCGTGAGTAAGTAGGGTTTTACGCCGCTTTTAAAATTATTTCATCTAAATCACGGCGGGGGATACCAGAAATTGGCTTCAAACATTGTACCCATGTGGGGAATCGAACCCGGGTCTGACGAATGAACGCTTTAACCACTAGGCTACCTCACCGCCTGTCATTTCTTTTGGACAGATATTTTGTTGACAACGTTATTGTCCGTAATTATGACAATAGTTTCGGACAAAACAAAATATTGTCGATGGAGGCTATAAACGATACGAACAAGAAATGGTTGTAAGATGGTTATGTATTTTATACGGTTAACATGTCGGTGTTTTAGTTTTAAGTGTTTCGGTTTTTAGTCTTGTGACGTTCCATAACTTCTTCTAAAGAAATTTTATAAAGAACAATTTTCAGCTGTATAGTTTCATTTGTCTGTCAGTATGGCTATGCCGCACCCCCAAAAGAAACAGTTCTTAACATTATCCACAGAAAACTTTAACTTATGTGCATATATAAATTTACTTTTGTTAATTTATCCATGAGGAAGTCTATCCGGTTTTTGCAATGACAGTGATAGATATTGAGAGCTAAGCCTAATCCGTCATGGTATACGATGAAATGACGCTGTCGAACAAGTCGGCATTAATTATTTTTAAAATATAAATATTTTGCATTTCGAAAGTGCACTACACAAAATAAGTAACAGAAGCCCGATTTCTACATATTGTTATAGTTTATGGCAGATTAGCTTGTAAAATGAAATATTCGGGTGATTATATTAATTACAAAATATATTTGTTAACATTTCAGAACATGGTTTTAGGAAATTACTTCAAATAAACCCCGGCAATATTTTATTATTCTTACTTAGCTCGTCATTCGTGACGTATGGAAGCAGAATTTAGAGAACATTTGAAAGTATTTTTGCTGTTAATGTTTCAATTTGATCATGGCGATGTTAGTATTACAATACACTGAAGCGAACTCTACCAAGAATGACATTTTAGGTCTGTAAAACAAGAGACAAAAACACACAGAAGGGGTTAAGATTGACATCGAATAATTATCATGAAAATGCAAAACACCTCCCCTTAAACTCATTATTTGACCAGTAATTAGATCTCTCACCTCACTGTCCTAGATATAGATATATTTAAAGTTTGCGATTGATTTTCTATAAAGCATTAATGAAACATATCACTGTTTCGATACACAAACCCACACAGATAGGAAACATCACAATCAATAAAGAATAGTGGCGGTTACTTACCTAAGTGAAGACGAATGAAAAGGCCCGTGGTATCTTCAAGGCGAAACCTCTGCGAGTGATTCTTAGAGAGGAATGGTACTTTCAGGAACCGCGTGCTGGCCGAGTGAGGGATGCAGGAGAGTGTAGAAGGATCGAATTGGTTCACAGAGCGCGACGTCATATATGTCTTTGACATTTACATTGACCTGAAGATGTGATGTAGGGCTCCCATGCAGGAATTGGTATTTTTGCAACGCAAAAATACATTTTACATTGTTATATTGAGTTCTCAAAGGCAAAGGTATTTTTGATTATGCTCTTAATCTGATTGCTATTTTGTGGGGTTTTGCCTTCAGCAACCCACGTTTGTCGTAAGAGGCGATTAACGGGATCTGGTAGTCAGGTTCGCTGACTTGGTTGACGCGTGTCATTATATCCCAGTTGCGTAGATCGATGCTAATGATATTAATCACTGGATTGTCTGGTCCGGACACGACTATTTACATGTCGCCGTCCTATAGCTGGACTGTTGCCGAGTGCTGCAAAACAAACAATTAAACAAACAAACAAAACTATGATTTTTAAGAAGCTCCCAAAGCAGGTATTTCTTTTTTTTGCAGAGATATAACATACACTTGTGTTACATTTGGCTACAGATGGAACCAACCTGTGTTCTTGTATTAATATTTGGTATTTTACAATAATTTGAATTCGTAATAAAAGCATGTTTTTGTCAATCATGAAATTCCGACACTTTGGCAGCCTACAACAAGTTAAGTACAGTAAATTTATTAATATTCTGAATATGTACAAATGTCGATGGCTGTTCATTCAATAGGGATTTTATCACGTTTTAGAAGCAGTAGCTTTAAAATTGTTCCAAATATAGAACATTTCCATGACCGACAAAATGCGTTAAAGCATATAATTATACTTTCAGATTCAAATTTCAGAATATCTGTGCTAAAGCAATCGTCTGACAAAAAAAAAACGCGCCTGCAAGACGTCTTTTTCAAATTATTCAGGTTCGAAGTTTTTATTTAAAAAGTATATGGTGTTGCGAATGTAGTTGAACAAATAACACGTCTCCATCCAGTTTCTGATTAAGTTTTTAAAACAATGATTTTGTATTTCGATTTCCAGATTTTTTATGTAGGCACGATTTTTTAGTATGAAGGCAACAAACAGAATGGAAATGTTATACAATTTAAAAAAATATTGTATTTAAAATTTAACGAATAATTACAATGGAAGGTAATAATATAGCTGTAGTATAAACTTTTATCGCAATGCAATTACAATTTCAGTATACAAAACAATAATCGTGATAATTGCAGTGAAGACATTGAGAATAGTATTTACCCAGATGCGAGAGTGTTCAAGGTTCCAAAACAGACGATGGCTTGAAATCCCTGGTGAAAATATAAGTTTACAAAACCACTAGTCTTCACGTATGTGTGATAAGCTTATATTCAAACACCGTTGTATCGAAGTGAAAGGGGCCTTATTTCATCGATTTATCCGACGTTCGACACAACTGGAAAATATATCATTTAAAGGAAGAATACGAAAGCTGTTACTTCGAGACCACTGAATGAGTGACACATCAAACCTCGACACAACGGACTAGTTTTAAGGAGATTTCAGAATGTTCTTTACCATCCCGGACTGAACTACACCTATTTAGAATACTAGTATTAAGGCTACACATTACTCCAAATCTAAATGTAGCTCAGAACTGCCCGCTACTGAATTTTGATCGAAACAATGTGATTACATTACAAAGCTGTTTTACAATACATTATGCTGCTACATAACTATAATGCTTCTATTTTAAGAGATTGATGAATCATAGATATCAGGCCTGCAGTGACAGGTATAGCCAGCATGAGAAAACCAGAATGGACATTAGAACTGACAACGACCGCTCCGATGTATAAATGACAAAGATGCTCTCATTCCATAAAAATATGGTACTTGTTTTTACCCTGCCTGGGGCTTGCAAGAAGAGGATAGCACATGGACGAGTTTGGTACTTGGTATCTCAGTAGGCGAGCATAAGTCCAGACCAGCACACACGCACGCACGCACGCAGACGCACGCACACACACACGCGCGCGCGCATGAACGTGCATCCACGTCGTTATACCAAAGTAGTAATCTTGAAAGCGATGTTATGATTTATTTCCCCTTTTCACCTCGGCTTGAACGTTTAGGTCTAATAAGAAACAAGAACGTTTACGTTACGTTACGTTACGTTACGTTACGTTACGTTACGTTACGTAAAGTTATGGTATGAGCGGTGGAGTAGCCTAGTGGCTCACGCTTCGCTCGTTGACACCGAAGACCCGGGTTCGATTCCCCACATGGGTACAATGTGTGAAGCCTGTTGGTGGACCCCACGGCCGTGATATTGCTGGAATATTGGTAAAAGCAGCGTAAAACCATACTCACTCACTCACTTATGTTATGTAGAATGCTGTCCATAAAATGAACACAATATTCTGCTAACTTTTGTATTTAGGAGCTGAGTTCAAACAGAACGAGGGAAAAATTAAATAGAAAGAGATTTATCCCTGATAACATTTGTTCCAAAAGTACTTTTAAGATATATGCCATCCGAAACATGTGCCCGAGAAACATATTTTGTTTATGCAGCCTAAAGCACAGATCCACCGCCATTCAATCTATTAACTCTCATTCACACCGTCAAGAAGATTACCACGAAGACGAGCCCCTCTGAGAGAGAACGCTTCCTCGCTGTGCCTTGATCTTGTTGTAATTGAATTGCTTTCATTGAGGAGGTGCATTAAACGCGTTCCTTACAATGGGAGATGCGCCCAACATGACCATCTTATCACGCAAAGGAACTGGCTGTCAGTAGCATCAATGTAGGTTCACTGTTGCTTGTCTAATGTATATTGGTGGATGACGAATCAACTGGTGGTAGGTGCTGGACAGCGTTTCGCGATCATCCGGTGTCGTCAGAGATATGATTTGAGTTATTTTAAAGATTTTAATATCAGTCATAACAGAAGGTGGAGATGACGTAATGTGATCAGAAGAGTTAATAAAATTTATTATTCACCAAATGAGAGACAATGTGACAACGCCCAATTTTTAAGGTCAAAATATTTACACACATACACACACACGTTGCGCGACAACGTGACAGTATTAATTCCAGGATTCCATAGAAAAGAATCCGAAGGGGACATCCCTTTATAAATATTGAGCGAGTTTAGTTTTAAGACTCATTTAATAATATTCCAGCAATATCATGACGGGTGACAGAAATGGGCTTCACACATTGTACCCATGTGGGGAATCGCACCCGGGTCTTCGGCGTGACGAGCGAACGCTTTAACCACTAGGCTACCCTACTGCGAATGGTACACAAAGGAGATACAAACTAGTACTCGAGAACACAAAATGGTCGTTTCGAAGAACTGTTTGCATCATTCAATATTACTTATTCATGTCTTTCAGAAAAAGTAGCCTCTGAATGCAAACCGTTAGCTGTTCACACGGAGATAATTCTATATGCACACAATTACTGAAAGAGAAAATTTACGCTTATTCGTTAATTAGCAGCGTGAGTGAACTAAGACACTCGAGGGAGGCCATTGGTCACATTAGCAACTGACGAGAAACGACATAAAACTCGCGAGACTTTGACGAGAGGAAAATAAGGATTCAATGGTAAAAGCTTTTCACACAAATGCAGCGGTAAGTCGCGTGTCCTGGTTCATTTCGATATCAAGGCTGTGACATTTGACACCTGGCTGTTGTCATACCTTCCTTTGTCGTGATCGTAATTGTTATTTATTGTGATCGGACTTCTGTGGATCAATAAAAAGCATTTTCATTTTTGATATAGAAATAATTCGAGACTGATAATCCTAAAGTGAAAATAACGATGTGACGTCATATTTGGAATCTTTCATATTATTTTAGTTTTAATTTTGACTTTTACGACCTGTACAATCTTGACATGACCTTTTATACAAGTGTCAATACTAAAATGTATTGGCATGATTTAATACAACACCTACGGTCAATATTATATTAGCCATGACTTCGGTGATCCATCAGCGTTCGAAATTATCGTCGGTTCTTAGGCCAGAAGTCGACTGAAAACCACTCGGACCCACAACTTTTGTTACTGCAGGCCGACAGCTTTTTCATCCCCAATAACTAAGAGTATTATTTCCATATTAAAATACAGGGCCTACACATTCTGATCATTCTGACACACAACTTTTTATGGTTCTGGGTCCCGATCCACAAAGCGTTCGTAACGTTACGACTTGTCGTAACTCTATAGTTTATCATAGGCTTACGAATGTCGTAGCGCTACGAACGCTTTGTGGATCGGCACCCTGGGTCCTTAGGGCCTGCAGCTTTTGAGGGTTAAGGACAAACACTGTTCATGGTCCAGTGGAACGAGCGTCTGCCCGAAGATATCACAGTGGTTCGATCTCTTAAAAGAAGGTATTTGTTGTTACCCTGGCTGCCTGGGTATAAAGAAGTAAATCATGAACCGGTCAGCTCTGACTGAGCATGTGATTGAGAGGTGTTTCCGTGTTAAACTGTGATTTTGTATATCAGTGGATTAACACTTCAAATCACTAGTCATGAACAGTCCAAGACGCACACGCGCACTCACGCACGTGCGGGGGTTGGGGGGGTGGTGTGTGTGTGTTTCCAATACTACATTCTATAAGTGCAATAATCACCTCCCCTTTCTATCTGAATGTAATTTAACAGCCCACGAAACTAATCCACGTTGATCTATTTTCGTATGAAATAACCCATTCTAGTGACCTCTGACCCTCTCCGATTGGTATTCATACGCCTACATCCCAAATGCGCAAATAACCTCATTTCACCCAGACACCAATGCCTATTGTTGAGATAAAACGCAAAGGGTCAACACACTGGCCCCAGCGGACACACGCGAATGTGAGCTAATATTCATTTCCGCGAGTTAAGACATCTTGATAATGGTCCTTTGAGTAGAAGGTGGTGTCCTTCCCTTTCTGACAGAAACCTTCGGAGGCCCGACAACCTAAATGAGACGAAAACAGATTGTCGTTAGGCGCTCATGGGGAGTGTACGATCACCACAGTACTAAGCGATAATGTTCT